ATATATATATGTATATATATATATATATATATATATGTATATATATATATAAATCCCAAAATGATTCCTTTACCATTTGAATGTGGCTCCTTCAGTCTTAAGAGTTTTTCAATGCTCTAATTTACTCCTCCAACTTTTGATATAGTCGGGGAGTAAAATGGGATCATTTTTGTGAGATATGTTATCTACACGATGGAGAGGGGACATTCATCCTTTTTCTTCCTCGTTTGATAATGAAGTAATTAGTGTTGAACAATTAAGAAATGCGCCTCTACATGGATTCTCCAAGCTTAAAACAACTTTGCTTTCCTTGAGTACACTCCATCCAATAATCTAAACCCCTTAACATTCAGCATGTTACCCAATTTTCATTCATTCTGTTCATGTCATTTAGCAGGCAACATTCAACTAGTAGGAGAATTTCCTATTTTCTTCATCATAGGGGTGTCAATCAATGACCCAAACAGACAACCCAACTTAAAAAATTCAAATAAGCTAGTACATAGGCCTAATTTTTATTTAGATTGAGTTCAGGTTAACTCAAATAACCCAAAATTAACTTGATTATTATTCAAGTTTGGGTTAGGAGGATTTAATTCAGATTAACAGGTCATATTTGGGATAATTAGGTCATGCTTATCTTTAAAAAAAATTGTATGATCCATATAATAAACGGGATAGATGGGTCAGGTCCAAGTTTGGCAAGTGCGAGTTAGATATTTTAACCCATGTAATAAACAATTCGTGGTTGTGTCAAACATATTCAGGTCAGTTAACTTTGGGTCAGACCCCAACCCTACTCATCAACTCGAATTAGCACCCCTAATTCATCTACATCAACCATACACTTTTCATTCGTCCCAATCTTTAAATAATATGACAAATAATAGTGACAAAACATGCACAAAGCATCGTTTCTAATGAGATCTTCCTGGAAGTCATAATTTCTTTGATAAGGTTATATGAATTTTGAAGTACAAAGAGTTCTAATACCATTTACGGCTCCATGGATTATCATTTTTTAAAAAATTTAATATTTTAAAACCCATGATTCAAATTCAAGCTAGTTCAAATATTAAATTGGTTCAAATGAACCGGCTCAAAATCAATTTTTTTTCACCCCTAATAGCAATGAATGGTGGCTTATGAGAACAATTCTTCCAACTGCTTCAAACAAGCCTCTAAAAATAGCAAAAAGATTTAATCTTAAATGGGATAATCATAATGAGCGCCAGGTTGACCCATAAACACATTGATCCTTCAAAAGTCTAATTGAGAACCCTGATAGCCTCTATCAAGCAACTAAAAATTAATAAAATATTTTAATATTGGAGCTATGATTTAATCTTTATATACTCTTAGAATCATATATAAACACTTGCTAGTAAAACACCAAATCATTTGCCTGTATTTTGTACCATATATATAAATATTTTCATTTTCATGATGGCTCAAATCTAATTTTTATTTGGCCAAGGCAAACTTGAAATTGATTATAAAAGAATTTTGAGACCAGTAGTCTTGCTAAAAATTCAATTTAGTTCCTAAATCAGGATTTGTTGGAAAATTTTACTATATAATAGAAGGGAAGAGAATGGACAAAAAAAGTTTCCATCATAACAACAATGAAACCAAAAGAACCAAATTCCCCATAAGAGCGGTTTAAATCAAAGGAATCGGTCAAAAGATAAATGGCACTAAGAAAACATAAAGTAAAAATTTATGCAACCAAATTACAAAAAATTTAACTGAAATATAAGTGAACTTAAAACTAGTATTTGAAGAAGTTTTGAAGATTAGAGTAAAATGCAATTTAGAGTTAAGTTCCGGGCAGTTTTGTCACCATCTTGCCTCACAGACCGCTGTCACTTGACAATTACTTTCTTGTACTTTTTCAGAAATTTCAATCCTGAAAAGCTGTTTTTTACAACATATATGCTAGTGTGTCATAGCTATCTGAAAGCTATTGTTTGAATTTTTAAACAATAAAATAATAATAATAATCATAGTAGGCTTTAAAAAAATTCTTTTTTTTTTCTTAAAAACTATACAAAAAAAAAGTGCAGCTGCCCCAAATATTTTAAATCATTCTGCTTCAAGTGGCAAAATGATGACTGCCGCAAACGGCTCCATGTTTTCTTTGAGAACCACCAACAAAATTCAATTAAATATCAAGCATTTAATCCAACAATTTATTTCTATATCCCTACAGTTTAGACGAGCTCATTCCAAAAATGCTACATTCATAAAACACTACCCTAAAACAAATTTTATATGCCATTAAAGAATAAATAACCATCTTCACTTTCATTTCAAACATTTCATCAAACTAAAATATTTGTAGAATGTTTGCTAATACCACAAAGGACATCATATATAATTTCCTTTTCAGGATGTGACATACCTGCAGATAAGAAGTCATGGAGAAATCCATTTAACTCAATAAAAGACAATCCAGGTTCCTTCTGAATGCTCCGAGAATTCATATTTCTCCTCGTCAAACCCACATCATTCCATCTAGCTGCCACAGCATAAACATTTGAGAGCATAACACGTCCTCCACACAATTCTGGCTCCAGCTCCATGATTCTTTGTGCTGCAAATTCTGCAACTTTAACATCTTCATTAATCCTACAAGCAAAAAGTAAAGATCTCCAGATGACCACATCTGGTTTAATGGGCATAGCTTTAACAAAGTCCTCTGCTTCTCTTAGTAGCTTTGCACGGCCTAAGAGATCAACCATACAGCCATAGTGTTCTAGTCTAGGCAAAAGTTTGTAAACTCTTCTCATTTTATCAAAGTAATAGTATCCTTCTTCGATCAATCCACCATGACTACAAGCAGATAAGACACCAAGGAAAGTAATCTCATTTGGAAGAACTGAACTTGATGCTTCCATCTGTGAAAAGAGTTTCAACGCCTGGAATGAATTTCCGTTCATGGCAAAACCTGATATCATTGTAGTCCAAGAAAAAACATCTGGATTTTGTAAATCATGAAATATGCAAAAAGCTCTATCTATTTCACCACATTTAGAATACATATCAACCAATGCATTTTTTGCTGATAGGCCCAACTCTATGCCATTTATGTCACAATAAGCATGGACATAACTTCCTTGATGCAATGCACCCAACTGAGCACATGAGGATAGAACAGATGAAATTGTGTTTTCATCAGGCTTTAATTTCTCTGCTTGCATTTTTCTGAATAGCTTAATTGATTTAAGAAACTGATTTGACTGTGCGTAACCTGAAATCATTGCAGTCCAGCAAACAGTATTCCTTTCAGGAATCCAATCAAACAGCTTGTGTGCGTGATCCAAAGCTCCGCATTTAGAATACATAGTAATCAGGGAAGAAGCTAGGTAGGAGTCCATATCGAAGCCTCTGGTTAAAACTAACGAATGAATCCTCCTTCCTATATTTAAAGCTCCAATTTTTGCGCAAGTTGTTAGGGCGCCAACCAGGGTGTTTGAGTCCATAGGCCTCGAATGCTCGACCATCTGCTGAAAAACCATTAAAGATTCATCATAGAGGTGATTACACAAGTACCCGGACGCCAAGCTATTCCACGAAACTATATCGCGGGAAGAGTCCGGAGCAAGATCAAAAACCTTCCTTGCCGTGCCGATGAAGCCGCTAGAGGAGTACATGTGGATGAGAGAATTCAGCACGAAGGTATCGGATTCTAAGCGGAGCTTTGTGAGGAGTGAATGAAGCTCAGCCCCTGTGTCGGGCTGAGATAGGCGAGAGGTTGCCTTGAGAGCAGAGGTGAAGGTGTAGCCATCGAGGGCGAGGGCTTGAGAGTGAAGGAGTCCGAAGAAAATGAGTGCGAGTGAGGGAGAGGGACCGCCGGAGAGGGAGTGGAGGATAGAGTTTAGGAGGTGGAGGTGGGGGTTCTGGAAGTTGATGCCGAAAGCGGTGGCGAGGCAGAGGAGTTGGTGTAGGTGGTTTGAGCTGGAGATGCGACGGGCGAGGAGGCGAAGTTGTTCGGAGTTGGGATTAGGGTTTGAAATGGAGGAGATGAATCGGAGGAGAAGATATTGAGGGCTTTTGCTTTGGGATTTCGAAGGTGAGGGACGAAGAGATGCGAGGCGGCAAAGCGAATAGAAAGAATGAACCATTCATTCAGTAAAAAAGCCTGCTTGTGAAGATTGTGTTTGGTTTATCAAAAAATAATAAAATAAATAAATAAATGATACTAAGGGGCCTTTTGGGGGGACAAATTTTTCCCTCATGTTCCCGTACGGTGCGCTACGTCCGTTATTCAAACAAAAGACAGTCATCTGGTCTTGCTGGACCCATATTTACACGTCATGAAAAAGAAAAAATTTCGCGTTAAGCCCGGCCTAACCCGACGTGCTAAATGTACGTATTAACCCGTCTTTTTGGCATATTTCCGCATATTTTTAGCGTATTATTCCCTCAGAAACTTCTATTCTGCATTATTCAGTAGAAAATAAGTTTTCAAAAAGGGTTTTTTTGTGTCAGCTAGGGTTTGGTCGTTGTATTTATGATGAAGATAGATTTCTCTCTTAATGAAGAGTTTGAGCACATTGACGACGAATATTTGTGGAAAATCAGGTCATGAAAGAGAATCTCAGCTAGCCACTACTATGAAGTACAGAAAAGCGGGTACACGGACTGGCTGTCAAGCAATGGTTCGCTATGCTATTGATCTTGATGGCAACTGGACCATAAAGAAATTTGTTGAAAGTCATAACCATCCCTTGGCGGAATCCGATGACAAGCACCTTCTACGTTCCAGTCAAAAGATTAGCGAGTTAAATGCAAATTTACTAAGATTAATGACAAGTTCTGGGATTAGAGCAGCTGATGCATTCAATTTCCTTGCAACAGAGGTTGATGGTGTTGAAAACTTGGAGTGCACTAAACAAGATGCATACAACTTCATTCAAAGGGATAAAAGAAGCAGAATTGAACAGGACGATGTCAACTCTCTCTTACAATTATTCATGGAGCGCCAAAATGAAAATAGCATTTTTGCATGGGATTTCCAAAGTGATGACGAGGGTAGACTTACAAGCTTTTTCTTGAGTGATGGGTCTTGCAGTCTAGATTATGATTTTTTTGGAGATGTCATCATTTTCGACACTAGCTACCGTTTGAATAAGTATAATTTATGTTGTGCTACTTTCGTTGGGATAAACCACCATCAGCAAAATGTTTTATTCAGAGTTGGTTTTTTATTTGACGAGACGATAGAATCGTTCAAATGGTTATTCAAAACCTTCATTCATATAATGGATGATAAGCATCCAATTACAATGTTTACAGACCAGGATCAAACGATGGCAAGAGTTATTGCAGATTGTCTTCCATTCACAAGACATAGATTATGCCAACGGCATATCTATAAGAAATTCTCGTCGAAAGTTCATTGCGGTGTGACGTACAAGAGCGTTAACAATCTATTTTATAAATGCATGAGCAAGTGTGATTCGGAAGATGAGTTTGAAGTTACTTGGGCTCTAATGATCGAGCAAGGAAAACTGCACAACAACATGTGGCTAGATGCATTGTACCGTATAAGACATAACTGGTCAACTGCATTCAATAAAGAATTTTTTGGAATGGGAATCTTGTCTACTCAAAGAAGTGAGTCCACAAATAGTGTCTGTCATGGTGCATCTAAGCCCACTAGTTCCCTAACAGATTGCTTTCTGGGGCTAGAAAATATTATGAAGGCATGGAGAAGGAACGAAAAGGATGAAGTCTTCAAAAGTTTTCAAAATGTTATTACACCGACAGTTAAAACAAACCCAGTGTTGAGGCAAGCTGCGACATATTGTACCCGAAAACTCTACTCTATGTTTGAAGAGTTACTTCACGGTCTATGTGGATTGACAGTCAATTCCTCAGTTGAGAGTCCATCCGAATTCTATGTTAGAGGTTTGGATAATCAGGACACAAGTAGAGTCTGGCTTGTTATATTTGATAGGCTTAATTGCGACATCACCTGCAGTTGCAAGAAATTCAAAATGACAGGTCTGCTTTGCTCTCACTGTCTACACGTCCTTAATGCTAATAATATAGCAAAGATTCCCGAGAAATATTTATTATTCAGATGGTCTGCTAAGGCAAAGAAATATATCTATAATAGTTTTGGATACAAACATATGAAAAACTCTCGAGCTCAAATGTCTGGCACAACATCCAGAGGAATCATATTTCGGCACATGCTCAAAAGTTTGTCTATCAATTAATTAATAAAGCTCAGGGAAATGAACACGTCGAGACATATATAATTGAATTATTGAAAACAGGGTCTGAAGGTATTGAGGAAATATTAGATGGGAAGGATCCTAAACCAAATAGGCCAAACAAAAAGAGGAAATCCCATAATAGTGACTGCAATGTGAATGATCCTGCAAAAATGAGACCGAAAGGTATTTCTAACCCAGAGAATAACCTGACAATACCCTCGAGAATAACCTAATAATACCCCGAGAATAACCTGAGAATACCCAATACCTTGTAAAACAAATCCTCAATTTCTCTCTCACGAATGTCGCCTGGTAGATTTCCTACGTAAATAATCCGACTCTCGCGGCTGCTCATATTTTGCTGCGATATCGAAGGAGAAAGGAAATTGAGTGTGAGTAATTTTGATTCCGTGGCCGTGAAAATCCAGCTAAGGGCTTTCTAGAAAGAGAAAGAGGGATCTTACAGGTAAAATTTCGGTGTATCAAGTCAAAATCGAGAGCAGAAAAAGAGAAAAGAAGGATGAAAGACAAGGACCGCCGCTTGGTCGCGGAAATAAGGGTTTGCGAGATAACCTTGGATGCCAGGAGAGCGTTCCTTCGATGTGGGAGTGGGGATAAGGTTAGACGTTATTCACAGTAAAAAATATTAAATCAGTATTACACCTGCATGACCAATAAAATTACGTCACGATATCTCGTGCGATAAATAAAAAAAATAACACAGTAATACGAGGAATATTTCTCATTATATTATTCATGTATTATTGTGTGTTATTCATATGGTTATTGTGTCCTGGGAATATTACTGGTGTTATAATAACACAACAATACATCAATAACACATCAATAACACAATAAAACATGAATAACACGGGGGAGAATATTCCCTCCTGTTACTGAGCCGCTTTTTTCTCTGTCGGGAATATTTTTCGTGTTATTCAGGTGTTATTGTGTGTTATTCATGTGTTATTATGTCCTGAAAATATTCTTGGTGTTATAATAACACAATAACACATCAATAACACATGAATAACACACAATAACACATGAATAACGCGCAATAACACATGAATAACACAGGGGAAAATATTTCCCGTGTTACTGCACCATTTTTTTTGCTCTGTCGCGCTAGATGTCGTGTCGTGATTTAATTGACTACGCAACTTATTTTATCGTCCATAGTACTCATGTAATATTTTTTTCCACATTGCCATTCCGAGTCGGGATTTGTGGATAAGTCATTTCTCGCTTCCTCTTTCTCTCCCTCATCAGCCCCTCCATCATGGCTGCCACCCACTCCCTCCTCTTCTTCCTCCTCCCACTCGTCTCCTCCCTCTCCTTCATCTCCTCATCCTTCGCCCCCACATCATCGGCACCAACACCAGCTCCATGGCCGAAGCAGTTCCACTCAATTCTCTTCATGAACTACAGCGGAGCGCTTTCGATTATCGATCTCTGGTACGATTGGCCCAATGGCCGCAATTTCAACATAATCCAAGAACAGCTCGGCGGGCCGCCTCTGCACGACCTCGAATGGAACAATGGCACCTCATTCTTCTACACTCTCCCCAACACGTCCTCCCCTAGATGCCGCTCCGCTCAGCTCCCCGTCGGCATTCTTCGCCCTAATTGGCTCGACGGCGCCACCTACCTCGGCCAATTCACCATAGACGGCTTCCTCTGCAACGGCTGGGAGAAGGTCGATTTCATCCGCTATTACGAGGACGTCGCCACCCGCCGCCCCGTTCACTGGGTCTTCTACACCGGTGAGATTACAATTCAAATTAAAAGTTATCTCATCGGTATGGATCATTAATGTAGATTTCGGGTTTGGGGGGAACTTTCTGGATTTGTGATGCAGGGAGGCAAGCTCATGTGATGACTTTCGAGGTCGGAGCGGCGCTGGAGGATGAAAAATGGCAGGCGCCGGCTTACTGCTTTCAGAACAAAAGGGACGAAAAGCTCCAAGGCATTAATGAAGCTTTAGAGGATATGACTCTGAGCAGGTTTCTATGAACTAAAAAACTTCTAAATCATCCATTACCGTCTGTTTAAGCTGTTCCTGTAGCTTATAACTAAATCCAGTGAGTCAATGAACTGGTTTTCTACTCAATGTATTGAACAAGAAGAAGGTCTTTGGTTCTGTATTCTTAGGATTAAGTGGACAAAGATTATGAAAATAAACGAGGTTGAAAGAATTGGAAGTTCTCCTGCCATTGTCTCAATGATTCCAGCTGTAAATCTGTGTAAAAGAGATGGAAACAGGGTTAGGTTGGTGGGTGTTAAGGGGTTTAGATTTCAGAATAAAGTGTGTTGGAGGAAAGAGGAGAGGTTTATCAACCTTGGGGAATTTAAGCAGAAGGGCCTTGCTTGGCTTTCATCACCATTTCTTCAGTTGTTGGACCGATGATGTCATTGGCTCGCTTCAGGGGGGCGCAGTAGATCCGACCCACTGAGTCCTGCATTAAAAAAAGTAGCAGATTTTAGGAAAGGTTCACTTACAAATTTCACACATCAATTTTCATATTTACACACAGCACTCAAATCATATAGCACTATTATCACTTTTTTTAAAAACTGTGCTTTTTAGGAAAATATTGTTGCTTTAAGGAACTAAAAACTGTGTGCTTTTTAGGAAAATATTGTTGCTTTAAGGAACAGAATAGGGAAAAAAATTAAGGAAAAGAATTGAGTGGTATATATATGTAAATCTTCCTTATATTTTACCACCCGAATAAGGAAAAGAATTGAGTGGTATATATGTAAATCTTCCTTATATTTTACCACCCGAGTGAAAGGATTAAAACTGAAAAAAAGCTCACCCTCGAAATAATGCCGAGCTTCTCTAACTTCTCGACCGCATCTTGAACTTCAAAATTACATTTTTCACCAAACTCCTCTTGAATAAGTTCTTCACACCTGATATCTAGATCCTACATGACAATTTACATCACACATTAACTCTTCAATAAAGGACATACAAATGAAATTTAGAGTTGGAGCTGTACCTCCACTGTGGCCTTCCCTTGTTCCATGAGAATAAAGTAAGAAACTATTACCTCCTTGACCTGGAGAAAGAAGTAATAATAAATAAAACAAAAAATTGCACCATTTCAAATTTATGAATGAGAAGTTTTGCAGAATCTAAAAAAAAATTATCTTTTGTGAGAATAATTTTGATTTTGTGCTCACTTCCTGTTGAATCACATCATCGCATAAATGTAGAATAGTTCCTTTCCCACTATCTAGTTGTTTGTCATACATGGATTGTGTTATTAGGTTCTGGTAAGTCGCCATGTTTTGCTGAAAACTGCACAAGTCTCAAAAAAATTAATCCAGACATTACTATAAGATCTGCTACTAATAATAATCACAGGAAGATGAGATTAATAAGATGACCAGACCATTGAAATCTATAGAATATTGACCAAAATGAAAAATATTTCTAACATACCAAAAAATTCTTATGTATGTACATATCTAACACCTAAAGTTTACATACATACCACTCAATTCCCATGTATTTACATATTTAACACAAACTTCAATTTTTACATGCGTATTTTTCACTTTATACCACCTACCTATGGATGAAAAGGTATTTTTCACTTTTTAAAAGTTAAAACGATGATTTTTTTTTTTAATGTGATATGAAAGATTCGAGTGGTTTAAAAGTAAAAAATTAAAATTTAGGTGTTAGATTTGTAAATACATAGGAATTGGGTGGTATATATATGTACCTAAATGCCACCTCATAAGCCTATGCATGAAAAGGTGTATTTCACTTTTATGCCAGCTGATAAGCCTATGCATGAAAAGGTGTATTTCACTTTTTAAAAAAAATGATGGTGATGTTTTTGATGTGATGTTAAAGTCTTTAGTGTTATTCATGCAAACATAAATGCTTACGTGTTAGATGTGTAAATACATAAAAATTGCCCCAAGGAAAATTAGATAAGATAGCAGAAGCTAACGTATACTTATAACTGCTAAGTCATCATTCTGCCTGCCATTATACATCCAGTGCACAAACAAGGCAAACTTATGTCAAGAGACAGAAAGCAGCAAAAAATTTATACACCAAATGACCCAAAGCAGAAACGACTACACCCAACTGCCATATGAAATTGACACGTAACCTATAACTGCTTGACCCAAACAACCGAATATTAAGAGTTAAAAGTTTAAACCCAACCTGGCCTGCCTTTAGCCTAACTAACCTGAGCCTGACCCAGATAACCAATTTAATATATGCATAATAATTATTTGGGACAAGTTCAGGCCAATTTAGTCCCATGTACCCCTGCATGTTAGTTGGCATCCACAATATAAGACCCCTCAGGTCGGGGGGTTCGATTCCACTCTGGCATAGCTGGTAAGAACCCTCAGGTCAGGGGTTCAAATCCACTCTGGCACAGTTGAACTTAAGGACGTGGTGCTCGAATTGTTAAGCACTTTAGGGGTGGTTGGAGGCTCGTATAATAGCATCTGGCCATTCCTTTTAAGAAAAAAAAAAGGTCAAGTCAATTTAGTGTCAAGTTTAGGTTACATCCAGGTCAATTGTTTTTAAAAGTGTGCTTCACGAGCAAGGTTAAGCGAAGCTCGTGATGCACGCTTCGCTGAAGCGCTTTTCGAAACGCTAAAGTTAATTTCCAAGTTTTTTTTGTAATTTTTAATTTTTTAATTATTGCAACAAACTATTAGAGTATTATTTTAATTTTTCTATGTATATCTACCTTTAAGCCATATTTTATATTTTATAATTGTTAATAAATGCAATTATACATTAATAGTTTTATGTAACCTATTAGAAATTTTGTTAATAAAAGCGTCGCTTCTCTTTTCTCTTCACTCTGCGCTCTGTGCTTTGAAGTAAAAAATAAATCTTTTGTGTTTCGCATTGATAATTGTATTTATACATTGAGCTTGCGGGTTAGATTTTGATCAATTTTGGGCTCGCAAGTCAGTTTTGGGTCCAATTGTGGGTTAGTGGGTCAAGTCGAACGCTTCCCAACCCAAAAAATTAAACATGTTGAGATTTCACACTCGAACCTAACACAAAAATCAATCGGGCTCAATTTTTTCTAGTTGAGTGCAAGTCTAGTTGGCATCTCGAGTTAACTTTTAGACAGCCATAATGGGGAACTCATTGGAGTTTGGGGTGGAGCTATTAAAAGTTATCTAATATTTGTAGGATTTTGTTATGGCCGGTTTGAATTTTACTGTATTTTATGTCTGCCCTAAAATTTTTTATAAAGAGAGGTGCCTCATATTATTCAAGAAAATTTAAATCATATTTTTCTCCACAATCAAATCATAATGAAATCCGAAGCAACAATAACAGAATTTAGCTATCAATTGGTGAAAATGCATATCATTCTTGTTCATTTTCATGTGTGCTTGTTGTATGTTTCTGTTGTTTTCCTCTCTAGTTGAACAATTTAACTGTGTTATACCTGCATTCTCAAAAGGTTGTAGTTAAAAGTTGTGTTTTTTAGCCATATCTGGCACCTGTGGTGGCTGCTCGGAAGCTGCAATATGATTTTTTTCAAAATAAAAATATTTTTTAATAGTCATTGCACCTTGTCGAACAAAAGCTTCAGCAATTTCACAGCTGCTACTTTAAACGGCTGCAATTGCCCCAAACAGACCCTTAGCATAGGAAGAAAACATACAACTGAACATGCCAAACAGATTTAACTATATTTAACCTTAACTAAACCAAACACAATTCCTGATTTAACAACATTTAGATTTGATGAATCTAGTTGAATTTATTAAATCTTATTTAACGTAAATTCATGTTAATTCAGGTTGCAGACAAACACCCCTAAAGTGTTATAAATGTAAATATCAAATTTTAACTGTAGATATGTAAATATCATTGTTTAAAATGTCGGACTGAGCCGGCCGGTTCAACCGTGAACCGGCCGGTGGTCCAGTTCTAGGCGGGCTAAAAATCAGCCCTGCATTGGATCGACTGGAACTGGTTTTCCAACCATCGAACCAGCAAACAGGTTGCGGTAACAAAGAACCGCACACTCCCCTTATTTATGCAAATTGAACAGGTTTTAACCTTATTCGGCTATTCTATTGTTTTCCGCACTAGCTCCCAATCACAAACCAAATCCTTCCTTCACTCAGCCTTCTTGTCGGCGACGCTGGTTCGCCTCCCCTTCGCGGTGTATCACCCGCAGCTCGGAGTTAAGTCTCTTTCTTGCTTCTTCCTTTTCTCGTTTCTCACATTCGAACATGGCAGGCAATGACCCGACACAGAGCCGAAAATTTATCAAATAATTTTATTTCATTCAAAATTTTACCTGCAATCCTAGTTCATCGAGTTTGTTTGTTAGGGAAACCAGTAATAGTGCTGATAGGATTCTTTCCTATTTGCAGTGGTCTTCGATGCTAACTTAAGGATTTATTTGGCTTCCCATGAGGTATATACTATATATATAGTTACTAAGATGCAGTGATCATTTATTTTAAATTTGATTGAAAAATGCATTGAGCCAATTTTGATGCTATATTACTCTTTGATAGTCTTTTTGTTACAAATGGGTGAATTATTGAATTAGTTTGTTATAGCCGTTTAATCTCTTCATAAGATTGCATGACATAATTTTCTTAAGCCGAAGATTGCTCTGGCCACCTGAAGGTGCATGACATATATAGTTTTCTTAAGCCGAAGATTGCTCTGGCCACCTGAAGACATGGCTACATGGAATTATTTGTTGGAAAGACAGTTTCAAAAGAGGAAAATACTCCCTTGTTTGACTAGTGCATTAACAGATGATTTTTTTTTTTTTAATTTTAAACTTAAACCCCTATAAAATTTAACATTCTTCATATATTGCCCATCATTGTAAACAAAGTTTTCTTAATTTTATTTCTCAACATCTCATGGATCGATTAGATTTATATCATCTATGCTGAATTTAATTGAGCTAGATGCTATGAGATTAGGATATGCATAAATCAATTAAATGATGGCATTATTTCATCTTCATGATTAGCTTTAAATTTTTTGAAGTCACGAGTTAAAAATTCATTCTCATCATACGGAATTACAAATAATAGGATGTAAGTTCCCTAAAGTCACGAGTTAAAAATTCATTCTCATCAATTGTCCATACGGAATTACAAATAATAGGATGTAAGTTCCCTGTAATTATCATGATCAAGTTCATTATGCAATTATCACAAATTCCCAATCATAACTGTTTTTATCACGTTTTGAACAATATAGATATAATTTATTACATTTTATGGAATCAAAGATTAAATTAGTATTGAATTTTTTTTAGGATTGTATTTATGTTCAAGTAATCAAGTGTGTTTGATCGCCGTTAAGTTTTAACTGTCTTCTATGCTACACATATGTATCATATGTTAAGTAAATATTTTTAAATATGAGATCTTCGAAATTTGTCTCTTTGTTATTCCTAGAATGGAGTCATCTGAAAGTCAACATTCTATTTCTTCCTTTAATGCCCGCGAAAAGTCTGATCCAGTGTGGAATTATTATAGTAAAAATAAGACTTCTATCAAAAAGAACCAATTTAAGGAATCAACATTGATATCTATTACAGAAGAAGATATTAGTCATTTAAATGAGTTGTTTAAGTTCACATATCATTTATATTTCATTATATTCTACACATTACGGTATTATTAATTTATTATGTCATTTAAGTTATATTTAATATTTGTTTTTATATTTATGATGTCATCCGGTTCAACTCCGATTCAAGTTTTAAACCTTGAACCTTCTTTGTCCAGTGCAATTTTCTGGACCTTGGTAAATATATAAGAATGTGAGGTATATATGAAAATTTATATATTTTCATTTTTAACATGGCAAGTTTAGTTTTATTTCAAATCAAAAATAAATTATAGAAAGAAAAAAAAAAGGTGATTCTGGCCCTTAATACTTTTCCCTACTTATCATAGCGCACCAAATTGAAGCTTTTTTCACTTTTAAGAGTTTGCACTTCATCCATTATTCATAACTCTACCCAGTTTAAGTTGATGAAGAAGAGAACACTTACGTGAAGTATATCTTAGCGCAATAACCAATTACACCAGAGAGAATTGCTGCAACGACCCATATATCTGCTTTAGGCATTTCAAGTGAACTGCTAAGCGTAACCTGTAAAAGAAAAGTTAAAAAATAATAAATGAAAAGATGAAATATCAGTGTTACGTTAAAGGGACATTCACAGGCATACCACGCAATTGCACTTCCTATGTATTTACATATATAAAACCTAAACTTTACTTTTTACATTTATATACCCAAATCTTTCATATTAGATCAAAAATATCACTATTTTGGCATTAAAAAGTGAAATACACCTTTTTTTATAGGTAAGATGGCATATATGTAACAATTGAAGTAGAGGCGTCAGATATGTAAATACATAGGAATTGAGTGGTACGTTTGTAAATCTTCCTAGGTTAAATTCATAAAATTCCAAAACTTACTAGCCCAATTACAACAGAAATCAGGAACTTGACCCAGTCCATCGGCGTTAAACTTGGATTTTTCTTTTCAGGCTACAGAATCAATACGTTCAAAATGTAAATAGAAATTTCTGGCAGCGAAGATGCTCATTTTAACTATATAAATTCTGATATAAAAATAAAAAAAAAACCATTAGCAGAAAAAATTACCAAAACTAACTCCATGTCAGCCATTGGAATACTCTTAAAATGCTTCACAAAAATTCCTCTATCCTTCTTAGCTTTATCACTTGCCCGTCTGCAGGACAAACATTAAGAACCAGATGTAAATTTATCAAATATCAAAAAGGGACATTCACTTACATACCACAAAATTCTTATGAATATGCATATCAAACATCTAAATATTTATATTTACATGTATACCACTCAAATAAATAAATCAAATAAAAAATAACACCATCACTATCTTTTTTAAAGTGAAATACACATTTTCATGCATAGGTTCAAGGTGCTATAAGTGCAAATATCAAGCTTTTGGTATGCACGTAAAATTTCCATATCAAATACTTATTGAATTTTCTCAACTTGAAAAATTACAGCTTCAATATGTTTATTACTAAACACATTATAAGCTACATCCAAAGAGATAATATCCAAATCTAATGCAATTTCTGTAAGAATAAGGTAAGTTTAATTGATTTTGATACCTATAAACGACGATCATCCTCTCAAAAGTTGGCTCTTGTATTGTAATCTTTCCAAATATATTCTTCATGCTGCGACAAATAAGAAAATTAGAGAACTACAAGGACTCAAATGATATTTAATGAACTAATTACCACAAAAGGAGAAGTAATCATAAACCTTAATTCCAGTTTTTCAAGACGAACGCGTTCTACAAATAGATCTTCCTCCTTATCTTCAGTAACTTCATCAGTTTTCTTTGCATCATTTACTGGTGCTATCGCTGGTTTTCTAGAGAAGAGCTTCTCAAGCCTACAAAAATAAGCAAATTTTAATAGGACTTTACAAAGATCATGAAGGAAAAAAAAAGGAAGATTTATAAACACGTCACTCAAATCTTATTGAATATCCAATGCCTAAAATTCAAATTTTACATATATCCCTCCTTAACTGTGCATGAAAAGGTGAATTGCAGTTTTTAAAGTTAAAATAGCGGTGTTTTTATGTGACATGAAAGAATTGGGTGGTATAAATGTAAAAATTGAAGGTTTTAGATGTGTAAATACATAGAAATTGGCTCCCAACCAAAAAAATAGCAACAAATATGATTCTAGATAGCTCACTTGAGTGTTTTTAGAAGCCAAGACCATGCGCGAGCTATGACCACATCCAACTTTTCACTAAAGAAGTAATCTGTGGTCCGATCAATTCCAATGCCGCGACGAAAGATCACATACTTGGCAGACAAAAAGAGCAGAGAAGTAAATTAGCATAAAAAATCAGTGCATTTAAAGAATGCAAAATTTACATGCACATCACTCAATTCTTATGTATTTGCATATCTAACATGCATATCTAACACCTTACATATATGCCACTTTACCTATACACTTTTTTTTTAAAAGTTAAAACATTGCTTTTCAAAAAAAAAAAATTTAAAATAGTAGTATATTTTATGTGATGTGAAATATTTGAGTTGTATAAATGTAAAAACTAAAGTTTAGGTGTTAGATATGTAAATATAAAAGAATGGGTGTTATGTATGTAAATGCCCCTTAAAGAATTGAATATACATAGCAAGTCGCAAAAGTAAATGAAGTTTATTATTCACATTGTCCTTTGAGGCTTCTTATTAAAACTTGGGAGAAAGCAATGATTAGATTATAAGTAGTTATGTGGTGATCGAAGAGTTCCTAATCACCAATTAGATAACAAAAAAGATCATCGTCAAATCCATATTTTCGTGTATCGCTTATCGAGATCATGTCAAAAGATATTCACAATGAGGTAGCGTAGAGCATGTTATTTGCAAATGGCGATGGTACCGACAGGAGCAGGAACATCATCGGAGGCTGCAGTGAAGGTCAAAGAGGTGGGGTTGCTGTGGAAGAAGCAGGACAACAGGTTGGTGATCGAACTGCAGTAGGAAAGGAACAAGGGGCGCTGGAAGGGGCAATCGAAAAGTGAGGCTTGTAGCGAAGCTGCAGAAGGTGACTGGTGGAGCTGAAGCAGGTGGCTGACAACAATGGAAGGGGCTGTGGTAATTGGATTCTAAAACGACAACAAGAAATTGCAAGTATGGTAAGATAAAATGCCTCGGTGGGTCGAGTTACAGTTGGAGCACCACTCGGACCCTTGGAGAAGATCACCACCTCGAACGAGGTACAGCCGGAGCACTACCTCGACGTCGGATATAACACTTAAAGGAAAAATACCAAGACTAAAAACCTAATTTAGATATAAAAAACAAGACTCCTAACTCTAAGCACATCATCCTCTATTTATAATGAAGCTATGACTTTATTTTAGGCAATACTTTAAATAAGAAAGAAGAACAAATCAAGATTTCAGATTTAGGTAAGGAAATAAAGTGAGGAAAAATCAGATTTAGGGAAGTGTAAATAAATTAATCAAAGTTCAAATTTTGCAAAGGACTTAAAATAGGAAAGATTTTTAAAAAGAAAGAAGAATAAAATATAATCAGGATTTCAAATTTTAGGAAAGAATTTAAAATAGGAAAGTGCTATGAAGGAAAGAAAGGAATGAGAGGAAAGGAAAAGAAAAAGAGAAAGGAAAGAGAGGAGTGCAGCCCCCTGTCGGCGCTTAAAAGGGGAAAAGAATTTAATGTTTGGGAGTCGCCCGTAAGAAGCTGTGGGGGGCCGGAATCGAAATC